CAGCTTTGTCCCTTTATTTATCAGGGGTCACCACAGTAGAATAAACTGCCGCAGTTAACATTTAAATTATATAAACCGTTAAAATGTGATTTCTAATTTTTGTATTTTTATATATATATATATATATATATAATATATAATAGTATTTATTAATATTTTGCATGACATTTCTTTCCATTTACAGTTGTTAATTTCAAACCAAAAATATCAGCTAATAAACACCTGGTTGCATCTTTTAAATAGTGGTGGATGAAATACAAAAATTATGCACTTGAGTAAGAGTACAGATACCCTACACTCTCAGAAATAAAGGTATAGGATCGTTCACCGTTGCTGTACCTTTTCAAAAGATACATATTTGTACCCAAAAAGTCCACAGTGGTACCTCAAAGGAACCTCAAGGTGTTCAAATGTACCTAAAAAGTAAATTTAAGGTGCCATTATGGACCCTTCAGGTACAAATATGTATCTTTTGAAAAGGTACAGCCCCAGTGACATCTGCTGTACCTCTATTTCTAAGAGTGTAATAAATTAATACTCCAGTAAAGTATAAAGTCCTCCTTTTAAATACTAATTAAGTCAAATTGCAAAAGTTCTTGATTTTGAATAAGTCATACAGGGAAAATTACTTATTTATGAATGTTTATTTTGCAAGAAAATTAAATTATCGAAACTTGTCATATGCTTTTGTAACCATAATCATAATTCAAGACTTGTGAAACCACATTCACACTCTGAACCCCATTCAGATCAGTGTGCAAAATCTGTTTATTTACTGGAGGCTCACTCTGAATCAATCTTTTTAATCCATGAATCATTCAGTGGAGACTTACTGAGACTCAATCATTTACCTGGTACTATGCCGAAAAGAAGATGAATGAATGAATGAATCAAGTAGGACAACCAAATGCGAAGATGTTTATGTTCCTATTTAAATAATTATGTTCCCTAATTTTTACACTCTAATTCTGTATTGAAAAGAGCACTCAAACTACAGTGGTTCCAGACTTTAGGATCTCACGGAATCCAATCAATCTATATGCTGACGACATCATACCATGACACAGATTTTAATATGCAAAAATTCCTTGCTCCTTGTTTCCTCAAAGATCTTTTTTCATCTCATGCCAGAAACAGGGAGGAGGGGAGAGAGAGAGAGAGAGAGGGAGAGAGAGGGAGAGAGAGAGAGAGAGGGAGAGAGAGAGAGAGAGAGAGAGAGAGAGAGGCAATTGTGAATTGCTAGTGTGAAAGGACAGCCCACATACATGGGTAACGGGAGAATTCACAACCCGGCAACTTGCACTGACTAATTTAGACATCCATCCCCGGGTTGCTTAGCAACACTCGGGGGCTTGATTCCCATACAGCTGTTTCGGCGAGTCGACCTGTGTAAAAATCCCTAATCGATAACACTTTCTGATTGTAGCGAGTTAATTCGGGCGTCTTGATTGCGCCGTTCGGTGGGCGGTCGCCAACCAATTCTCAAAAACCCTTGTGATGCTATCTGGAGCAACTGATAAGCCGCACTTGAAGGATTTTGGGGCAATTGTGTTTATCTAAGTACTTGGTGTCATAATGGTAGTGTTTTGAATCGAATTATCCCAGCATGCTCCTGTCACCCAGCTGATTCAACAACACACTCCAATCAGTCTTCTGCCTTGAGGAATCCAAACAGGGGGGAGACTTCAACTGATAGTACAGTGAATGATGGGAAGAGAGGAAGCGAGAGAGAGGGAGGCGGGGCAAAATGGAAAGAAACTGAGACCGAGTGAGAGAGTTACTGTGTACGTATGTGTGTCAGCGAGAGAGCGAGTACAGAGCTGGGAAACGTGCGAGGCTTGTGCTCTCTGCCGTTTCCTCTCGCAGTCATCATGTGGAGCGGGCACTGTCACCACAGGGCTTGCCTTCTCCGTAAAGCTGCTTCACTGAGCGAGGAACCCCTGTCCAGGAGAACCTGACCATCAATTCCCAAGTTCCTCAAGGCCACACGGACGCCGCAAGGGAGTTATTGAGCAATAAACTCAAGGAGGAGATATGAAGTCCTTACTGAATGCCTTCAAGAAGGAAGGTAAGAGGTGATGTTTTGGTCTTGAGTGGCACCTTGTGACTTTGGTGACTTCGGTTCTTTGGGATTGGTGCTCAAAACTCTTGTCCTAAACTATTCTTAGGTGAGGAGGAAGCAAAGTAATAATTTTTACAGTATTATAAGTTGAATCTTGTGAGGCCAAGAGCGAATTAGTCTGAAAGAGTAAATATTTTCTACCTTTGTCTTGGTTTTGGGACATTTTTTATATTTAGATTGTTGTACTTGGAACGCCGCCACTTTGATTTCAGGTGTTTGAAGGAAATGACTGTTTCAGCGGTGTTCCAAAAGCAGTGTTCCGGCAGCCAATGTGCTTGTGATGTCATCGACTTCAGTTGGTGCCAGAAAAACCTTGTTTGCTCTGTTCTGTCCAAATGAACCATCTTGTTTGTTTTTGTGCCATTATCAGTGTTGCTTTCTTTTGATTCTATTGTATTTGTCTTTTCATTGGCAGGCTTCATGGGGGGGCTGGGTGGATTTCTTCACAGCTTGTGGGGGCTGGGTTCGAATTATTGGCCATAATGATCTCCTTACAGTAGCTTTTTAAATAATGAACGGGAGCATATGTACCTCTGAGGCCTTTTGTTATGACGAACGTCATCCAGTGCCAACCTTTCATGACAGGGAAGGTGATCTAACTGCCTCAAGTTGACATTACGTCAGCACATTAACGAACAGGGGGGACTTGATGCGTAATAAGCGGTGTGTTTCTCCTCTATGCTTCTCCTGGGTTCGTTTTAGAATATATTTATAGCGTTTGTCTCATCCAGGCAGTGATATCTAGTTCATGCGTGAACTATGTCTTTCAGCGGCCTAATGTTTCTGAGAAAAAGACTTCTTTGGATAAACCTTTTCCTGAACCACTTAATGTGGCGGCAAACAAATAAATATAGGCATTTATCATGCATACAGTGAACTCTAGGGATTTCCCTAGGCCTGAAAAGGGGGGAGTTGTAGAGATAAAGCTTCATCTGGCCATGAAATTTGTGTATATTACCATGGAACCACAGAAGTTTGCTGCTGTGGGTGTATGTCTCTGGAGAATAGAGGAAGCAGTTGTTTAAGAAACCACAAAACACTGCATAAAGGTGCAGCTTGTTAATTTGTTGATTTTTTTTAGGATATGTTATAGTTTTGATGAAGTGTGTAGTTTTTTTTCACCTTCAGCAGCTTCAAAGAGAACTTCAAAGAAGTTTGTTTTTAAACAGGCTTCCCAAACAGTCTGCCATTGGTTGGTGAATACAGAAAGCCACACCCTAAACACACTCTATTGGTTGGCCGTTTCTATGTTGGTTAAGTTTGGAATCTCATAACAAGATGAACAAAACAATAATACACACTGGAATGCGAGTTTGCACAATCAGCAGTAAATCTGCTTGTAATAGCCTCTGCAAATAAAAGAGGCAAAAAGAAAGTATTCCATTGTTTTTTTAAAGATATTAATAACTTTTAATTTAACAATGGATGTATTAAACTGATTAAAAGTGACAGTAGAGAAATTTCATTCATTCATTCATTTTCTTGTCGGCTTAGTCCCTTTATTAATCCGGGGTCGCCATAGCGGAATGAACCACCAACTTATCCAGCACGTTTTTACGCAGCGGATGCCCTTCTAGCCACAACCCATCTCTGGGAAACATGCACACACACATTTACACCCACACATTCATACACAACGGACAATTTAGCCTACCCAATTCAACTGTTCCGCATGTCTTTGGGGGAAACCGGAGCACTCGGAAGAAATCCACTCGAACGCAGGGAGAACATGCAAACTCCGCACAGAAACGCCAACTGAGACGAGGATCGAACCAGCGACCTTCTTGCTGTGAGGCGACAGCACTACCTACTGCGTCACTACGTTGCCCTAGAGACATTTCATATTATACTAAATGTTTCTATACTCTTTTGAACTTTTTAATCATCAGTGAATATAGTAAAAAATGTACCATGGTATCCACATACAAAACTTTAAAAAATTATTATAGTACAAACATTCCTGAGCACCACATGAGCTAATAAGAGTGATTTCTAAAAGATGAACAGCTGTGGTATTGGAGGAATAGACTGTGTTTTTAAATGTAAGATAGTTCTTTAGTTAAATTCTAATAGTATTTTAAAAATATCAAGCCCAGTATTCTTACCAACAAGTAGACTTTAAAAATAAGTCCTGCAGCTTTAAAGATAAGACACAATTTCTCAGCAGTAACTTTTTGTGTGTTACAGTCAATGATAAAGGATTTGCTAAGATTGTGTGTACATGGAGCAAACCTCCCACAGAGGAATTGAGGAACCTAGAAACACAAACTGAAGAGCAAGTCATATATTAATTTATTAGTCATAATTACATTTTATTTAACATCTAAGTGAATTGCAGTTAATTAATATATAAAATACATTTCATACAGCAAATAATACTATTTTATGCAACGTGACATTTCAAAATGTATTACTGAATGAATCGAATAAACTCTAATTACTATTTGTGTGAGGTATCATTAGCTGTTGAATTAAATAGTTTTAACATGTTAAACGAATGTTTGTTTAGTGTTACCAAATCTATTTCCACATTCTAAGAGTCTCAAGAGTTAATTTTCTTGTTCTGAAATTATTCCGACAGCTCTTAACAAGTCAAAACACAATAAATGCATTCATCATTCAGTAAATGAGCGTGGAAATGGCTGATTGTGAGCTTGATGAGCAGACAGCGTTTGGTCTTTTAAGTTCTTTGTATGCAGAAATGAAGCTGAAGTGTGGTACTTGAAACACTCGTTACAGTGCTCTAATTATTGTCTTTTTCAATGGAAATGAAGGACACCTAAAAAAGCTGATCTACTTTTCAACTTGAAAGTGCACACTGCATTCAAATCTATTATTTTTATCTAATACTACTTCTTGTTTTCTTCATCTTTCCCAGTGCCTTTCCGGGAGGCACCGGCAGGCACAGGACGGAGCAGGCCGTCGCAGCAATCGCCGCTGCAGCACCAGGGTAGGAGTACTCTTGCCGCCCCGCGAGTGCTGCTCCGATCCAACAGCGACAACAACCTGAACGTCAACAAGCTGTCGCTGGAGCGCTCACGCTCGCCCTCTCCTGCCGCTTCACCCCTGCGCAGCCTCTCGCCCCGCCACCCCCAGCAGATGCAGAACAGCCCAAATGGCACGGTGAAAACCATGGCCCTGGGCGGGCGCTCCGCCCGAAGCCGATCCCCTTCCCTGGGCCGGCTGGGGGAGGGAGACACGCGGAGACAGACCCCGCTACGCCACAGCAGGTCAGTGATCTTCCCACATTGCACAAACTGATTAGGTTAGAATACTCAAAATCATTTGTGGAAACATTCCAATAAACCAACTTGTACTTTTAAGTTAGTACAGGGGTGACCAAACTCAGTCCTGGAGGGCCAGTGTCCATTTTAGCTCTAACTTGCCTCAACACACCTGCAAGAATGTTTTTAGAAAGCCTCGTAAGAGCTTGATTAGCCAGCCTAGGTGTGTCTGATTGGGGTTGGAGCTAAACTTTGCAGAACTCTGGCCCTCCAGGACCAAGTTTGGACACCCCTGAGTTAGTAGAACTTCATTTTACTTTGTACTTTGACAGCATGTTTTTGACAAGTGGACAGGAACTTTTGACGGCCATTTTTGAACAGCGTTCCCACTCCTTGAATATATTTGCATTTCAGACAACAGAGAGGGAAAGTACACAAAAACAGGTCGTTGAAAGGGCTTGAATTTAAGGGTGCTATTTCAACAATTGTCTGTGCTGCATTCAAAAACTAAACAAAAAACTAAAAAATTCTTTATTTAAATTTACATTTACATTTTATACATGAACTAATGCATTTTATCAATACTATTACCAGCATTGAATTCAACTACTTCTTTGAACATGAATTTTGAAAACAGTCAACATTTTTGAAAATGACTTCCTTACATTTATATAGCATTTTTCTGGACACTCAAAGCGCTTAACACATTTTTGGGGGAATCTCCACAAACCATGTGCAGCATCCACGTGGATGACACGATGGCAACCATATTGCGCCAGACCGCACACCACACAAAAACTTATTGGTCTAGAGGAATCAGAGTGAGAGACTCACACAGAGCGCAGGTTGAGCAACCCTGCTGGTCACACTAACACCACTTCCAGCAGCAACCTAGCATTCCTATGTGGTGTCCCATCCAGGTACTGACCAGGTACTGCCCTGCTTAGCTTCAGTGGGCAAGCATGTGAGATTTGCGGAGAGCTAGCTGCTGGCAAGTTTTAAGTGTATGGGAAATATTATAGGAATGCATAGGAAGGACGTTTGTGATACTATATATGCTAGGGGTGTAAAACTACAAAAGTGCTCGATTTATCCATGAAATAGCGGGAACCCTGTTTGAAATAGCAGATACGATGCTAAACTTGCTAATTATACTCGTTGTCTTGATCTACTTGTGTTCAGTATATAACTTACACTAAGCTGTTTGGATGCTGATGTTGGTTTGCAAAGTCATGAGCATCAATAGTTATGCACTGTCTTCCATTGTTGGTGGCAGAGGTGTGGACTCGAGTCATGTGACTTGGACTCGAGTCAGACTCGAGTCATGAATTTGATGACTTTAGACTCGACTTGACAAAATATAAAAAGACTTGCAACTCGACTTGGACTTGAACATAAATGACTCGGACTTTGACTAGGACTTGCCCCTATTGACTTGTAAAGACTTGCTGCTTCCCATGAAAAGCCCAAAGATAAAAAAGTATGTTGACATGGACCGCTCTCTCTCTCTCACCGTTTATGTGTGCGTGTGTGTGTGACAGCATGCGCGCGTGTGTGTGTGAGCATGCGCGCTTTCGGCATGACATCCAATCAAAGCACGGTAGATTGTTTTGATTCGACAGTATCCAACGTGACTACTATGAGGCGCCGGAGTGGACAAAAGTCAAGCGAACGCAGAGAGAATTTGAATTTGAACTTGAGATCGAGCCAATACTCGCGTGCCAATACTCGTTCTCTCTCTCTCTCTCTCTCTCTCACACACATACAACATACACCTCTCTCTCTCTCTCTCTCTCTCTCTCTCTCTCTCTCGTGCATTCAGTCTCTTTGCGTTCGCTTGACTTTTGTTTACGATGGCGTCTTTAGTGCTTTTGCTCTCACGGGATCCTCCTGCTTAACTGACCCTTCGCTAAGCCACGCCCAAAAACCGCCACCCACCAATCGCGGCTTACCAATCGTAGCTACGGGCAGGCTCTGTCAAGCTTTCGAGCGAGGGAAACAAGCCAAATCGCAATTGGATTGTGCAAATCTGACACCCGCTATCCTAAAAGTTTGGACTGGGTGGTGGGATTGTTTCCCTTTTCAAAACCAAAGCCCAAGAGGAGAAATGCCAGCGTGGATCAAGCTGTGTGAGGGGCGGTAAAGGAGTTAAGCTTAGTTGGTTTTGTTTTCGATATTCAAATTCAGTGATAGGTGGCAATAACTCACACTCCTCTTATCCTAAACAGATCTAAACTGTGTTTTTTATTAAAAAAAACAAAAAAAAACTAAGCAGGTTATGTTTCCCAGCGGTCTTTTTCTTTTTTTGCACTCGATATTATGAGCACTGCTTAGTTTAAACCCTCGCTATTGTAACGCATATAAATACATACACTAATATTTGCTGGTAGGAAAAATCTATTTGTTCACTTCTGTTATTTATACTTTGATTTGCATTTCAATTTTTTTTCTTCCACTTAACTGCAAATTTGAATAAAAACTGGATAAAGAGCACACAAACATGCTGACAGTAATAGGTACTGTACACTGTTATGGGTCAATAATGCTAATATTCGGCACAAATCCATCAGTTTCTTAGGTTATTAGATTATTTTATAATTTCACCTCTCCTGCTGTGCATGAACTATGCTGTTGAATGTTCAGCGTATGAGGTGGCTAGGCTAACCTTGCTTCAATTTTGATAAAATTATTTTCTAATCAGTTGCTATTATGTTGTGAATATACCCCTGTAATGTATACTGCAGTCCTCTTTTGTCTGGCTTTCTCAGATATCTCACCTGTTTGCCAAAAATGACTAATTAAATCCTTGGGAATGTCTGACACCAGCGCATACACACTGTAATAGATGTGCCAGGCATGAAAGCTTGACAGGCGTAGCAACAGTAACTAAGGAGGGCGAGGCTTAGCGAAGGGTTATTCCAAGAATGTTGATATGGTTTCTTTCTTGCTTTACTATTTATTAACAATACACAAAAAACTAAAAGGTTAAGGTAAATTCTTTAATAAATTCTAGTGTTTTTGAGTATTATACTTGTTGTATACTTGTATTATACTTATGTTTTAGGCTAGTATTATTTACGACTTGTTAATGAATGCTTCATAATACAGTAGTATTACCAATAGTGAACAGATAAAATAATACAAAGTGTAGTTTTACTACAGTAAAGTGTAGTGATTTGTAGTATAAAATACCCTATATTGTAAAATAATACAGCACTGGGTAATTTGTTTATATTACACTTGTGTTACCATAGCAACTATAGTATTACCACAACTGATCAATTGAAGTTCTTTACTGTAGTAGGCTACTGTTCAAAACACAGTACAGTACATGCCAATATACGTGTTCAGGGGCCCTGTGGAACAGCTTTCCTCAAAATGAAGAGGATGACATGGAAAATGTCCTCCACAATCTCATCAGCAAAGTGGAAGCCAGCAGACACTAGTTTACTTTATTTTAGCTGCCATGATAAAATGAGATTGATAGTGAGATTTATTTGAAGAGTGAATAGTACAGTAGGCTATAATACCTTATCAAGTGTTTCCTTATTTTTATCACAGTTACATTTCTGCTTGCATTAGTTTTTGTTTAAATGCTTTTAAAATAAAATGTATTCTTTACATCTACTCCAGGGGTGCCTTATAGTGGTGTAAACCCCTTTACAAGGGGTGTTTCCCCTGAGTAAACTCTAGCCACCCCGATATGATTTTGCTGTTGACATTATTTATTTAAATCTACTTACATAAATGCAATACAATGCAATATTTCAATAAATAAATAGCAGCCACTAAATTATTGTGGATTGATTGGTGCCACTGACGTAGCTGGCCTCTTCTGGCCCCCCTTAAGCAAATTTTCAGGGGGGCACCACTGGTCTATTCTCTGTATTTAAGTGTTTGAAACTGAAAATATCTCATCATATAAAACAACCAAAAATGTTAAGGTTTATTAGATTAAACATTTAATATGTAAGTCTATTTTAGTATTTTGGTTATTGTTATTAAACAGTGCAGCAATATGAATCGTATTAAAAAGCATGAAAGGAAGAGGGAACACGACACAAATTGTGAGTCTGCATATAATCTCTGAGAGCGCTCAAGAAAATTTGTGTGTGAGCAGTGCATATTTGAGAGCGAGAGAAAATTTGCGCATGAGCAGCGTATATTTGAGAAGTCGCAATCAGTTTTGTCCACAAACAGAGGAAATCCGTGCACGAGCATCACACAAGGTAGAGAGCAAAGCTCTTCAACGTTATGTGAAGAAAACAACGTTATTGTTTGTATAAAGTAGCCTACTTCATTAACAATATGTGCTACCATTTTACATTGCTGCTAGACGGATTTGCAACTCCATCTCTTTAGCACACACGAGATTCAATTGACAAAATTCCAATTTCACTCAATTTAATTTTGCAGCATATACAGGAGTTGGTCTACTGCTACCACATTGAGGTTATGTAATTTTGGTTAATCACAAGTTGATCACCGAAGACACAACATAGCACAACTAAACTTAATGAATTAGACAGCAGTAGACCTGCAATTTCTGTGTGATGTGAGGCAAAATGGAGTCTTTTTTTGGTGGAACTCGTTCTTGTGCATTATGCTGTGGAGACGAGACGCAGCACTGTTCAGTACTTTTTCAGAAAATTGCATTTGTATTTTTATATATCTGAGCGATGTTCTTTCATAAAAAAAGGTTTGTTTAATTAATACAGATCTTACAACCATACCTAATCTGTATATATTTTATTTTTCTGTTAAAAAGACTCGAAAAGACTCGAAAATCAAACTGCAGGACTTTGGACTAGACTTGAGACTTGTTGCCTTTGACTCGGGACTTGACTCGGGACTTGCCTGTCTTGACTCGGGACTTGACTCGGGACTTGAGGGCAATGAATTGAGACTTACTTGTGACTTGCCAAACAATGACTTGGTCCCACCTCTGGTTGGTGGTATGTTTGTGTTTGGCGCTTCTGCGATAGTGCTGCTTGATGTAAGAGTAG